AAAAGGAAACAAGGGATAAACCTCTATTCCTGTTCAAAAGGACAGGGGAGGAGAAGGAACCAGAAAGGTGAAACCTAAATCCAGTTGGTGGAAACAAAGACAAAACTGAATTCCTGTTAAAAGGAAACTTTGAAGGAGGTGTCCTGAAACAGGAAACAAGGGATAAACCTATATTCCTGTTCAAAAGGACTATTGTGAAAAGGACAATAGGTGAAGGATTGGTGGAAGAGACAAAAATGAAGCAGACTTTAAAAGGAATTTCCATTCCTAAACAGTTGTTAAACAAGGGATAAAGCTGAAGCAGACTTTAGAAGGAACTGGAAACCGAATCGTAAACAGGAAACAAGGGATAAACCTATATTCCTGTTCAAAGGAAGAGGAGGTGTGAAGCAGATTTTGAAGAAACAATGATAGGCAAACCTATCTACTCCAAACAAGGGATAAACCTCTATTCCTGAGAAAAAAATGGGTAAATGGAAAAATTAAATTTAGAGTTCATCACAGACTTGGTGGAAGAGACAAAACTGAAGCAGACTTTAGAAGGAACCAGAAACCGAATCCTAAACAGCAAACAAGGGATAAACCTCTATTCCTGTTCAAAAGGAAAGGAGTGTGAACCAGATGATAGGTGAACCTATCTACTCCATTAGGGAAGAGACAAATCTACTCCAGACTTTAGAAGGAACTGGGAAAAAAAACAGCAAACAAGGGATAAAATTATTCCTGTTCAAAATAGTGAACCAGAGTTCTATCTAGTTGTTGGTGGAAGAGACTGAAGCAGACTTTAGAAGGAACTGGAAACCGAATCCTAAACAGGAAACAAGGGATAAACCTCTATTCCTGTTCAAAAGGACCAAGGAGGAGTGTGAACCAGATGATAGGTGAACCTATCTACTCCTATTGAGGAGGAAAAATGATATTAAAATAAATTAAATTTGAAGTAGACTTTAGAAGAGAACTGGAAACCAAAAAACAGCAAACAAGGAAAAAGGGAAAAATTCCTGTTCAAAAGGACTGGTTTTTTTACGAAGGAAGAACCAGAAAATAGGGAGAAAACCTATATAAAAAAATTGGTGGAAGAAACAAACCAGTTGTATACAGTTGAAGCAGACTTTAGAAAGGAACTGGTGGCCAATCCTAAACAGCAAACAAGGGATAAACCTCTATTCCTGTTCAAAAGGACCAAGGGGAGGAGATAGGTGAACCTAAGGAGAGAAATGAAGAAACCTATTAAATTCCAGAGATATTCAAAGAGACAAAGTTGAAGCAGACTTTAGAAGGAACTGGAAACCCAATCCTAAACAGGAAACAAGGGATAAACCTCTATTCCTGTTCAAAAGGACTGAGGAGGAGTGTGAACCAGATGATAGGTGAACCTATCTACTCCTATTGGAGGAGGAAGAGACTTTAAAAAAGTTCAGGCACAGACTTTAGAAGAAAGACTTTGGAACCAGAAACTAAAATCCTAAAACAGGAAACAAGGGAAAACCTCTATTCCTGTTCAAAAAGGACTGAGGGAGAGACAAAACTGAAACAGATGATAGGCAAACCTATCAAACTCCTATTGGTGAGGAAAAAAAGACAAAATTAAAATTTCAGAGTTCAGGCACTTGGAAAGCTGAAGCAGACTTTAGAAGGAACCAGAAACCCAATCCTAAACAGCAAACAAGGGGAAACCTCTATATTCCTGTTCAAAAGGGGAGAGGAGGAGGACAATAGGTGAACCTATCTAGATATTGGTGGAAGAGAAAAAATGAAGCAGATAATTAGAAGGAAGGAAAAAGAGAAACAGCAAACAAGGACAAACATCTATTCCTGAAGACTTTAGAAGGAACCAAAACCGAATCCTAAACAGGAAACAAGGGAAAAAAAATATTCCTGTTCAAAGGACTGAGGGTGGCCAAAGAATAAGACAAACAAGGAAAACCTATCAAAAGGATTGGGGATTGAACCAGAAATAGGTGAACCTATTAAATTCAGAGTATGGAAGAGTTAAAAAAAGTTGAAGTAGACTTTAGAAGGAACTGAAACCCAATCCTAAACAGGAAACAAGGGATAAACCTCTATTCCTGTTCAAAAGGACTGGGGAGGAGTGTGAACCAGATGATAGGTGAACCTATCTACTCCATTTGGAGGAAAAAAAAAAACTGAAGCAGACTTTAGAAGGAACTGGAAACCCAATCCTAAACAGCAAACAAGGGATAAACCTCTATTCCTGTTCAAAAGGACTGGGGAGGAGTGTGAACCAGATGATAGGCAAACCTATCTATCCTATTGAGGAGGTTGAGATATTAAATGAGACAAAAGTTGAAGCAGACTTTAGAAGGAACTGGAAACCCAATCCTAAACAGGAAACAAGGGATAAACCTCTATTCCTGTTCAAAAGGACTGGGAGGGTGTGAACCAGGATAGGTGAACCTATTATCCTGGAAAAAAAAAAATCATACCAAGAATGAATTTGGTGGAAAACAAGATAAACACAAACAAGGGATAAAATTATTTTGGAGAACAATGCACTCTGCTACAGTGCATAAGTTGTATGGGAATGGTTTCAGGAACATGAACATTTCATAAAGTTACCCTGGTGACCAATCTCCCCATATATCAATCCCATTCAGCAGAAGAAAACTGGAGTTCATGTAAGTGCAGGCACATGGAAGACCAACAGTTTATTAGGTCATAATGTTATGGCTTATCAGTGTCTTGTGTGTATATGTGTATATATATATATATATATATATATATATATATATATATATATATATATATATATATATATATATATATATATATAATATATATATATATATATATATATATATATATATATATATATATATATATATATTTGGGAATTTTGGATGGTTTTTATTAATCCAACAGACTTTTAGTTTTATCACTTTGGCCAAATTCGTTGAGGGGTGCTGGGCTCCCTCTGCCCTGAGGGATACAAGTTCAAATCCTGGTGGAGGGTGCAAGTTTTTCTTTAATAAAATTTCTCAAACATTGTGTGTATAACTTACCTTCATGATTCAATATATCATGTTCAGTGAGGAATGAAAGAGTATTATCTTTTATAAGAGTTGATTTTCAGTAGATTTTTCGATTTCCAGTGTTCCTTTGTTATTAAATTTTTCAATTAATTTTTCTTCTTTTTTCATTATTTCAGTAATAAATATTTCTGTAATGAAGAGAAAATGTAATCAACTTGCATAAAATTTTATTTAGAAACAAGAGAAATTGGGTGTGTAACGCCGAGACATAAAATGAATTTGGTAATCTTTCGTTTTTTAGTGGTAAAATATGTGAATGTGAGGCTACACAGTAAATTTAAAAAATATTTTATGCAAAAATTTCCAGCGCCCCCAAAACGAAATAATCAGAGTAGTAATCCCAAAAATAAATTATCGGCAAAAATTTTGTTTGTAAATAAGCCAGGGTCAAATTAAAAAATTCTAGTATTACATTTAAGAACTAAATGAATATCGTAGCTACAGGACGACGAAACTTCGCTTGCAATGAAATATCTTTATCATATCAAAAATAATTCGGCGATAATTGATTTCACTCAACGTTTCAAAAAATTATCTAAGAGTTGATTTATCTCCCTTACAATATTTTTCATTTTATTTCTGATGCAGAAATAAAACCGTTACTTTATTTTTGTTTGTTAAATTCTGAGACTTATTGGCAATAAGTCTCAAAATCGAACACGCAAAAATAAATCCAATATTTGTAACCAATAAGTTATTGGTCACAAATGTTGAATTTATTTATTTTTTACAGAAAAAAATAGTTTTTAAACAAATTTTATTACATTTTTATTTGATGTAAGGAAGGTAAATCCGTGTATTCAAATTTTTCAGCGAAAAAACAAAAAAAAAAAAAAATAGGTGGTTGCGAATGTTTAAAAAAATAATTTTAAAAAATGGTGTATGAAAAAGTAAAAGCTTCTTGTGAAAAATCAGTTTTTGAGTCGATTTTCAAAACGAGAATGCTGAGAACTTTTACACATAATTTCTTTTGTAAATTTACTAAATAAAAGCACACCCACAATCCATTTTTTTTACCAACACGAAATGAAAGACAGGTAAATAAATGACATTAATTTTCTTTACAACTCTATTTTTTTTAATTATATAAATTAAATTTTAAAAAAAGTTTTATGATGTGAGCGAATATTTTTTTTCTTTATCACTGTGTCTCTAGAAGTCTGTGGTCATTGCAATTTTTACCACAAAAAAAATCATTGCTTTACTACTTTTACTCTTAACAATTCCATCACCTACTTACAGACAGGTAATGCGAAAAGTCGTATTGTCTTGTGTTGTGTATTCATTTAATACCTTTCTACTTATCTTATCTGCATACGAACTGTGTTTTCGCGTTGGTTCACGGCACGTGATCTTGTGTTTAACGGTGGGACGCCTCTATCTTTCTCTCTGGCGTCCGTTCGTTCATATGTAACTGGTAACAGTGTATGCTTTTTATGTTGAATAAAACCTTAATATTCAACTTTCTAAAAAGGTCTCTTTTCATCACAATTTATTCAACATAAAAAGCATACAGGAAAATAATGGATACTATTCTGAGACCCGGTTGATTTGGGGGATCGTCGGAGACAACCGCTGATGAATGGAATCACTGGTATCGTACCCTTGTTAATTGCATCGACTCTCTGACAGTAGCTCACCCTGACAACCCTCCTAACAAGCTCAGCATCACCTAGAGTCTATTCCTTGATATCAAACTGCACGACATTCGAGAACGCCATTAGTATTCTTCAATCGACTTATGTCAAACCAGTTAATTCTGTATTTGCTCGTCATCTGCTCGCCACTAGAAAACAGCAGCCAGGTAAATCTGTTGCAGCGGGCTGAGAGGTGTGAGTGCCAATCGACCGTACAACTAAAACAGGGGACACAAAGGCAAGGAGTTGGCAATAGCAAAGAAGGATGACAAACGCAGATGGTCCGTTGTAGACGATGGAAATCGTGTCTTTATTTGCGAACGGTGGATGGTAAGACGACAGAGGTCGTTTGTTCGGGAACGGTGTCCGGACGATAACGGGCGCTGGACGTCAGTGGGCACTGGATTAGGCCGTCAGCGGGTGCTGGAATAGGTAGCGGGACGTCAGTAGAGCGCCGCAGGGGTGAGCTGGAGGCCGCTGGAAGCTGCAGGAGTGAGCTGGATACTGCAGGAGTGCTGGAAGCTGCAGGAGTGCTGGAAGCTGCAGGAGTGAGCTGGATACTGCAGGAGTGCTGGAAGCTGCAGGAGTGCTGGAAGCTGCAGGAGTGCTGGAAGCTGCAGGAGAGAGCTGGAAGCTGCAGGAGTGAGCTGGCGTCACAGAGGGAAGGCAGTAGCGAAGAGTGAAGTGAGTGGAGCCTCGAAGAGTGGTGATCGAATGACTTTCGGAAGTTAGCCCTGAAAAGGACTGTTTGAACAACTGCTGCTACTGCTGCTGGGTCCCGTCAGCTGCTGGGCTTGGTCGACTTGACTGGGCGCGTCAAAGTCGCGAAACAGGGAGGCGAGATTTATTTTGTAAAAATACAAAATTGTGGCACAAGGCCGAAAAGGGGGAGGGGGTAAGGCTGGTCTTCACTAACTATCTTATACCTAGCTAATTTGATTCACGACCCATTCAGACATTACAATTTACTCATTCACCATAAGAACTCGTCCGTCACCAATCAATCCTCCTTGCACCATAATACCACATCCACTTTAGGGAGACCTACAAAACGCGCCCCATGTCATAATGATCCTAACACATGTACAAAAATTCTAAGATGAAAAAATGAGATGGGGGTGGGATGTGAACCCAATAACAAACTAAAATATTAACATAAATGAAAATAAAACGTTAACTGATGTTAGTAGGGCCCGTCCAACCCTCAAAATGCAGGGAGACCACTGTATTCTGCCCATTGGAACAAAATCAAGCAGCTCTCTCGCTAAGGGAGTGGGAAAGGTGATAAAAAAATCATACGGGCATGGGGAAGTATAAAGCTGACCCAGTCGAGATAGAAAGTGGGGGGGTCAAAAAACAAACTGGGGAGGTTGGGAATCTCAGGCTGGATCATAACTAAAGATGTGACCGAGGGCAGGCCGGGAACAACACTTACTCACATTAACTAGGTACGCCAAGGCTTGTCTAACCTAACCAAGGGGAGGGCACCACAGGAAGCCACCCCGATGTAACGTAGGCTTGACTTAAAACAGAAAATCAAGGCTAGCCCCGTTCACACGAACCAAGCTCGCCTCAGTCACCCACCTTTCGCTGAAGACTGTCGAATGCAAGCGTTTTCTATCAGTTCTAATCTTCGTCTTGAGCTGATGCTCAAAGAATCGGATCAGATCCTGATGAGAAAGACGGTTACCCCGCAAGACTTCCTCCTCTCGCGTCGTCCATATCACCATTCGGGCCGTGGCTAGCAGCATGAGAAACACCATCCGTTTCACCCTGGAATGCGCGATCCATGGGCACAAGCTTTTCGGGAGCGAGACGAGCCGTCAGCTCGCCGACATGGTCCCATAAGGGGCGGACCCGGGGGCAATGGAAGAAGGCGTGCGAAGCCGTTTCCTCTAGACCAAGGCCACACCGATCGCAGTCTGGCAAGTCCGCCAAGCCCCATATGAAGGCCATGTCGCCAGGTAAGCGAAAACTCAGGGTTACTGAGGTAATCGCCGCTGGCGCCCAAGACCAGTGAGAGCGAAACTCACCATCCGACATGTCGAGATCCTCACGTAGGGGATCCTTCGCGACCCCCTCCATTAGCAAACGATAGAAGTCCTTCCTAGGCCGAGAAAGGTCACTGGACCAAGGGACAGCCAACAAGGCCGACCGACACTCGCTAAAGAAAACCGATTGAACCCGGGACTTGGCGGGCCGGCGGTATTTATTTGACTCCCACGAGGTCAAGATGTGACACAAGGTCGTTTTTCGTGGGAAAACCCAAGCGTTTCCGCATAGGGTCACTGGTCAAAGATTGGTCATAACATGTCCAAGCTGGTCAAGGCTTAGTCAATGTTTTGGTCATAACATGTCCAAGCTGGTCAAAGCTTAGTCAAGTTCTGGTCTTGGCTTGTCTTAGCAGGTCCTGATACTTTGCCATGGTCGCAACCCAGCCCAAAGGCCGGGCTGCTTCCGTGACTTGGCGGGCCGGCTAAAAACCGCTGCGAAGTCTCGGGCATCTAGATATGACGGTTCATACAAGAGAAAGCGGTGACGCTAAACAAGTAAATGAATATAATTAATTTCGGGCCGTATTAATTACAGTCAAAAGTGTGTTCGGTGTTTGTTGACTGTATTTAAATTAATTTCGGTTCGAAATTAAAGGTCTTTTATTTTTGTTTAGTGGCGAAAATTGAGTTTTGTGTGTTTCTGACAGTTTGAAAGGATGTCGTTGCTATTTTTAGCACACAAGGGCCGTGACCTTTCTCTACCGGACGGCATATCCGGGGTTGTTTAAGAAAAGGTGGGAGTGGTGTTTGGGCACACTGCGACAAATCTATTGATCAGTTCCTTCTAACTTTAAAAAATCTTTCCAAGGATTGCAAATTTGAAGACGTCACTGCTTCTCACCATGCCGAACAAGCAATAAGGGATGCTTTTATCACAGGCCTCACTTCCCCAGTGATACGGCAGAGACTACTAGAAAGCTGTGAAATTAATTTGGATAATGCGTTAGCAACCGCGAGAAGTCTCGAAATGGCCCAACACAATGCCGCAGCTTATGCCACTTCGTCAGTTGTAGCAAAAGCATCAATTTATCCAGAAGAATCCAGAAATAATTCTACAGATGAATTAGCTAAAGAATGTGCTGCTGCTACCAGAACTAATCAAGCAGTTCGTTACGCCAAATGTCAATTCTGCGGACGTGAGAATCATTCTCGATACAATTGCCCAGCAAGAAATGCTAACTGCCTTTCGTGTGGGAAAAGAGGCCACTTCTCCAAAGTCTGCCGGTCTAAAAGAAGAGCAACTTCACCTAATATAAAAACCAGCACTGCTTTTATTGCTCTCACAGCTTCATCCCAATGCACACCCCGCACACAATACTCCATAGTAGTTGCAACTATAAACAACACTCGTCTGAAAGCCATGGTAGACAGCGGAAGCACTCATAATTTCATAAAGTTGAACGTCGTGAAATCACTTGGCCTTCCTATACTACCTTCCAGTGACACAGTAAGTATGGCTTCCTCTAATCTCACGAGCAAAACCCAAGGTCACTGTATTGCATCTATCGCAATTAATGGACAAACATACCCTGATATGCATCCGTCTGTTCTGCCCAACTTATGTACTCCTGTCATACTTGGACAAGAATTCATGCAACTACACAACTGTGTGGAATTCCTTTTTAACGGAGATATACCTCCTTTACAAATCTGTAACACCGCTCAGATGAAAATAGAGCCACCTGCTCTTTTTGCCAATTTATCAGATGACTGTAAGCCAATTGCAACAAAGAGCAGGAATTACTCTGCATCTGATCGCGAATTTATTCGGAACGAAGTACAGAAGCTCTTAAAAGAAGGGATAATAATTAACTCTAATTCCCCATGGCGAGCCCAAGTCTTGGTGACTCATAATGAAAGGCATAAGCGTCGCATGGTCATTGACTATTCTGCCATTATCAATCGCTATACTTTCCTCGATGCATTCCCTCTTCCAAAAATTTCAAACATTATACGCCATTTATCTCAATATAAGATTTTCAACAAGTTAGATTTGAAGTCTGCATGTCACCAATGCCCTACCCGTGAGGAGGAAAGAATTTATACAGCCTTCGAAGCTGACGGAGGCATGTACGAATTTTCTCGGTTACCCTTTGGGTTAACAAACTCTGTAGCTGTATTCCAACGTATCATGCATAACATAATCTGAGAACACGAACTTAAAGGCACCTTCGCCTATATTGATGACATTGTCATCGGGAGAAAGACAAATAAGGAATTGAATGAAAATAGAAGGACATTCAAAGAAGTTGCTGATCGTCTCAATTTGCAACTGAACCCTGATAAATGTGAATATGGCATCACCAAACTTAAGTTTCTGGGGCACCTGTTGGAGAATGGAACAATCAGTCCTGACCCAGACAGACTTACACCACTCAAAGAACTACCGACTCCGAACTGTGGTAAGTCACTCAAACGAGCTCTGGGTCTCTTCTCATACTACTCACCATGGGTGGAGAATTTCTCTGGCCGCATTTCACCTTTGCTAAATATCTCCTCATTTCCTATTGCCGAAGAACTCAAGAGTCAATTTCAGGCAATAAAAGATGAAATTTGCAAGGCTTCGGTTGCGGCCATTGAGGATGAAGTTCCATTCACAATAGAAACGGATGCATCTGCGACGGCATTGGCGGCCTGCCTCTCTCAGAATGGACGCCCAGTAGCATATTTTTCGAGAACTCTTACGCAATCTGAGCGTCGACACTCAGCAGTGGAGCGTGAATCGGCAGCCATTGTAGAATCTGTTCGTAAATGGCGTGATCTTTTACTCGGCCGATATTTTACTATCGTTACAGACCAACAGGCCGCCTCATATATATTCAACACACGGACACCAAACCGTATTAAAAACGATACTTCGATGGAAAATTGAACTTTCTAACTACTCTTATGATATTGTATACCGACCAGGTTCACTTAATAGCTCTGCAGATACTCTTTCCCGTTCATGCTCTGCTTCGTGTTCATTATCACTAAAAAGATCTTCACGCAGCACTCTGTCATCCAGGAGTAGCGAGACTGTATCATTTTGTTAAACAAAAGAATCTGCCTTTCTCTATGGAAGATGTTAAACATATCTGTGCTGAATGCCAAATATGTGCTGAACTAAAACCAAGGTTTTCAGACCTCCCCTGGTCGCTTAATCCATTCTCGATCCACTTTTGAACGCCTTGCTATTGATTTCATGGGCCCAAAACCATCAACAAATAGTTTTAAATATCTACTCGTGATCGTAGATGAATACTCGCGCTATCCTTTCGTCTATCCATGCCAAGACATCTCAACAGGAACTGTAATAAAATGTCTCCAAAATCTCTTTACCTTCTTTGGCTGCCCAGATTCAATCCATAGTGACCGATGGAGCCAGTTCGTATCATCTGAACTGAAAGAGTTTCTCTGGCAACATGGCGTTGTAATTACCCACTCAACATCATACCATCCAATCGGCAACGGACAATGAGAGGGCAAACGATCAAAACTTGCACTCAAGACGAGGCAACTGGATGAACGTCATTGGCAAGCTGTACTCGACATTGCTCTGCACTCAATTCGATCTCTTCTTTGCACAGCAACTAGCACAACACCACATGAAAGATTGTTCAATTTTCCGAGATGGTTGGGTACCGGATACACCCTACCTGAATGGTTGCAAAGAGGTCCGGCGCTGCTAAGAAAGTTTGTCCGTCAACACAAGTCTGACCCACTAGTAGAACCGGTGGAAATAATATCAGCAACTCCCAATTTTGCGAGAATTCGTTTCCCTGACGGCCGTCAGTCAACAGTCTCAACAGAAGACCTTGCCCCCACTCCTGTTACTGACCCATCGCTTGTAGATTCGGATTCTCCTGTCTTCACCGATCACTGTGAGTCATCGAGTTCTACTTCATCAAATAACAATGAACCGGAAATGTCTACTGACCAACAAGAAACCACAACAATTGGGGAATCCTCCACTTCAGTTGGCGAAACGAAGTCTCGGGATATAGAACAGCAGCAGCGGTCGCACTTAGAGAAGGATGCTCTGGGATTTCTTCCCGAATCATCAAGACGAGGACGAAAGATCATCCGTAACCCGAAGTATCAATAAAATGTAGCGGAGAGTGTTGTGATATACTTATAATTCTTTGTATTCATTCAGTTAATTATTTAATACCTTTCTACTTATCTGCATACGAACTGTGTTTTCGCGTTGGTTCACATCACGTGATCTTGTGTTTATAAATAACGGTGGGACGCCTCTATCTTTCTCTCTGGCGTCCGTTCGTTCATCTTACTTATTATAAAACGCAGATTGTGTGTGTGTGTGTGTGTGTGTGTGTGTGTGTGTGTGTGTGTGTAACGTTTATATATTGGATCGGATTCCCTACATTTTTAGCCGATTTCAACTAAACTTCACAAGACTACATAAAATTACCTTGTGGTGGTTCTAACAGCGCCGAAAATGGGAAAAACACAATTGTTTTTTTTAACAAAATCAATTTGAAAACACGATTAAGATATATCGTGAGAATGAAAGGGGGACAACTCACATCGTGTTAAAAAACCCACGTTGTTTGTGTGTGTGTGTTCCTTTATATATGGGATTGGATTTCCTACATTTTTCAGCCGATAAAACAAACATTCACTTTTTTTTTGGCAGGTAGTGTTTCTTATTGTCTTGCACACTTTTTTCTTTATTTATACATTCAGAATGCTTTAAAAATTCCATTTACAAGACAATTGTTTATAATAAAATTCTATTCAATCGGGAGACTCATCATAACGATTGAAAACAATGTTTTTGTTTGAGTTTGGGTATGACCAATTCGTAAAAAAACAAAAAACAAAAAAAACAAAAAAAAAACAAAAACTAAGACCTGCGTGTTTTGAAAGTGTGGGACTTTATTGTCGCCGCAAAAAAGACATTTCCAAAAATTGGGATGGCGAAGGTGGAGTCACCGGATATTAAAAAAATGACCAAGCTATGTGCAGGGAGGGTCCCAATTATTCTGCACCCCATACTATATAGGGCCCTAAAATTAACATATCCAACAGACGTCAGCGGGATTGTCCTGGAAGGACGAATTAGGTCAAAGATGGGTACGGGGACCTGGAGCAATCCGTCGAGGTCCTTTCACTAGCAAATTTCCGTTCAGTCTGTGTTTAAAGGGATAAACTTCTAAAATGTCTATCAAGCTAGCCAGCTTGAATGCGAGGGGCTTGAGATATCGGAGTAAGGTTGTCCGTCTGCTTTGTGATCTCTTGTCCTTCGGTGTAGATGTGGCCGCGATCCAGGAGACACTTTGTTTGCGACGTTGATGCTCGTGTGTAGTCTAGCGACTTCGTCGTCTATTCAGTATACGGGGAGCAGCTGACCAGAGGCGTTTCCTTGCATACCCTGGATGCGAAGGTGGACTTTGTCCATGTCGATGCGGGTGGGATTGTAGCCGATATTGCCGTGAACAATAGTTCGGTTCGGATCGTTGCGGTTTATGCGTCCAACGATTAGACGGAGCATGTCGCCTTTTCCGTCCTGTTAGATTTGTCAGGCTTAGCCTTAATGGGGAACTGGAATGCCGTCCTGAACCCCAACATAGACAGGGGATGGGGAGCTAGCGGGAGGTCGGGCGATCATAGCCTGGTCTATCTGATCAACGAGTTTGGGCTCGTCGATAGATACGGGGTCGATCATTTGGGGCGAGAGATGTGGATGTGGGCTCTTAAGTGGCCGTCTCCGGGTAGCCAGCTACCTGAATAGAATGTTAGTAAGAAGGGTTGATCTCGATTTGCTAGATTGTCCCACGTTCCATCGTTTAGATTATTCGGACCATATATTCGTCTGTGCGCGGATGGTGTTAGGTACTAGGCCTTGAATGACTGGACACTGGATATTCAATCTGTCTTTATTGAACAGGCGGGACTTCCAGCAACAGCTAACTAGATTAGTACAGCGGAAACTAGTGGGGCAGTTATTGGGAATAAGCGGTGAGAGATGGTTAAGGATAGTATTAGGTCTTTCACCACCGAATATAGCCAACGACTCGCTCTAGATAAAGCTAACAAGGTGAAGACTCACGAGGATAGTCTGTCCCGGGCAGAGGCTGGGGGGATTCCTGTTTAACCTACGTCTACCAAGGTCAGGTAGTTAGACATAGTTTAAACAAGTTGTCCAACGAAGCTGTGAATATGAGCGCAGAATTGCGCAAGTAAAATCATGCCGCGCTGAACAATTTAGAGCAGTCTAAGGCACTCGAAAGGTCAACCATCAATACCTGGCTGCTGTCCTGAAGGCCGCCAGATTCAAACCCGAATCAACCTCCTGTATTGCTCCCTCAGTGCTGTGGTATAGGTGAACGGAAAGCGGTCGCGCGTTTTTGCCCTGTCACGATAGGACCGACAGGGTTGCCCGCTGTCGCCTCTACTTTACGCTTTGGCGTTAGAGCCCCTCCTTCGCCGGCTAAGGTACGGAACGTGCAGTCCGACCCTACGTGGAAGCGCTGTCCCTGGAGGCACTCGAACTAGGGTTCCTGTGTACGCCGATAACATATCCATTTTCATGTCGACATTGAGGTAGTACAGTAGGCGATTGAATGATACGAAATGGTCACCGAGACCAAGATTAACCGCAACAAGTCTTCTAATTGGCTGAACTACCTCTCAGCAAGGACCGAAAGAAAACACTCGGGGGCTTGTTGTCCATCCTCTTGTGGAGTAGACACAGGTATCAGGTTTGCAGAAAGGTTTTTGCCCAACGTCCGTGTCATGTAGAGGGGGATGGGAATGTCGTACTTGTTGTGCCATCGGATCACCTTAAGGTTGGCTTTCCTACGCCACGCGTTGACAGTGGACTCGACTTTGGAGAGGAGTGTTAGTGACGCCTTTCCTAGCCCCGGAATCAGTCGATTTTCTTCCGAGAGTGTCAAGTGAACTTGAAGTGATCTTTCACGGCCTCATAGACTATTGTATCGAGAGTTAGTGGAGGGGAGCTGCGAAGAATCCTCTATGTAGCCAGCGTGTCTTGTAAGCATCAGAGTTGCGCTCTTTCTGGTCTTGAGTGCCAGCGGCGGATTATCTCAGCAACCCTGAGTTTTCGCTCACCTGGCAATAGATTCGGAACATGCTATCTCTCAATGACGTAGCCTTCATAGGGGCTGGGCAGATTTGCCCGACTGTTATCGCTATGACCTTGGTTTATAGGAAACGGCTTCGCACGCCTTCTATCCACGTCCTCAGATGCGCCCATTCTGAGTCTATGTCAGCGAGTTAACGGCTCATATCAATCCCAAGCAGCTCGTGTCCATTGATCTCGCATACGTGTGCGATAATATGTCGCCCCCGTTCTCGGGGGTGAAATGGGTGGTGTTTTCTACGTTGCTAGCCATGGCAAGGATGGTGGTGTGGACGTTGAGGATGAAGGGAATCTTGCGATACGAACGTTATTCTCATCAAGATCTTGTCAGGTTCTTTGGGCATCAGCTCAAGATGAAGATCAGAACTGATAGCGTTTGTTATCGACAGAGTTCAGCAAAACGTGAGTAACTGCGGCGACCTTGGTTCGTGTGAACAGGGCTAGCCCTGATTTTCTTTTTTTAAGTCCCCTTTGACGCAACGAGGCGGTTTCCTGTGAACACTCTCCTGGTTAAGTTAGACTCTATTTGTTTACCTAGTTAATGTAAGTAAGTGTTGTTCCCTGTCCGTTCCCGGCACCCTCCTTTGTTATGATCCATGTCGAGAGTCCCCCATCTCAGTTTTTTTTTTTCTTTATCCCTATTGGGTCAGTCTTTGGTTTCCCATTTTGATTTTATTTATTTTTTATTTCCCACTCCATTAGTGGGTGCTTTTCTTGATTATACAGAATACATCGGGAACTCATTATTTTTGAGTGGTGGAAGGGTCCTAACTAACATGTTAGTTATGTTTTTTAGTTAGTTTGATTTTATTTTTGTTATATTTTTAGTTGGTTTTTGGGTTCATCCCCCCTCCCTCATTTCATGATTCATGAAATTTTTATATATTTTTGTAGGAAAAAAGAAAAAGAAAAGAAAGATACATTCAACATGGGATTGTTAGGTTCCCTTTGTTGAATGTGGTATATTGTGGTACTCATAGGTAATGGGTGAGTTTTTTGGTGAATGAGTAAATATTGTAATGAATGAATGGATCGTCCTGATTAACTGGGTCTAGAATAATTAGTAATGATTAATTTACCCCCACTTCAACCTTGTATTACAATTGTTAATTTTGAATAATAAATATACTACTCAACTGGGTCCAAGATCACGTGTCGCAAGCTCGCGCCACAAGAAATATTTATTTCAACCAATCACAATCATCTTAAGATTCTGCCCGATTGTGTCGGAAGCTTTTTTTACTTGTGTGTGTCAGTGTGTGCTTATTTGTCGGCACGATGGGTTCTATGGTATTAACGGTTCTCTCTATGACGATAGGGATTTTCTTCATATTTATCGGTACGCTGAAGCTAACGCCAGCACTCAATACGGAAATCTACAGAGAAATGGTGAGCTTGATGATTTGAGAATTTCTTTAGGGTAAAAAAATACAAGTGAAGTCGTAAGGATTCCAGTTTATTGCTGAAGTAGTGAAGACTGAAGAGGCTGATCCCAGCTGAGCAAAATGATTTTCTTCTCTCTCTCTCTCTCTTTAAAACTCTTTTCTTGTAAAATCACTTCGTTATGTTTGATAATTTGATTTAATTTCATATTAAACGTAAATGGAAAAAACTGAAATAAATCTTTGGAAGTAAGTACTACTTAAACTACTACTTTACTAGCTGGCTAAAACTAATGATCGAATGAAGATCAATGAGGTTAGCTGCCTCCATCACTAGCAATACTTACGCTGTTTGTTCTTACCACTGCAACTGTAGCTGTTTTTGTTCAGTATAACAACATGAGTAATTCAATCATTTAAAATTTATGTTAGCAACTTCCTTTTTCAAAATAGACGTGCACATTCTTTGTAGTGGGTACTAGGGTAAGAATCGTCGCTAGGTTTTTAAATGTTCCTGACTCGCTATATCAGCTGAGAAGACCCTTTTTAAGATGTGCGTGTAAATGCTGAGTGTA